AGAGAGAGAGGGAAGGAGGGAGGGAGAGAGAGAGGGACAGAGAGAGAGGGAGAGCCATCAAGAAACAGAGACAGAGATTCAGAGACAGGCACACAGATACCCAGAGAGGTAGAGGTGGGGACAGGTGGGGGGAGAGGCAGAGAAAGAGACAGAACTACAAAGAAAAAGAGCCCAGAGGAGGAAAAGGAGAAAAGGATTGGGCAGGGAGGTGCAGAAATAGAGACAGGTGGGCACATCGACAGAGACAATTACCTAGGAAGAAAGACCAGAGAGAAGGGCCGAGACCCAAAGAGAGAGAAAAGAAGAGGCGCGAACCCAAAGAGAAACACAGAGGGAAAGGGAGGGATGGTGGAGGCGGTGGGGAATGGCAGGGAGAGAAAGAGAAGCCAACTGCAGAAATATAGAAAGACAGAGACCCGAAGAGAGAAGGGCACAGAGACTCGGAGCAGGAGAGAGATGTAGAGAGAAGGGCCAGGAGATGGAGACAGGAAGGGCAAGAATGCGGGGGGCGGGGAGGGACGGAGAGCTGACCAGGTTTGCTTACGGCCCAAAGCCACGGTGGGAGAGACCCCCTTCCGGAAGGTCAGAGATGGGAAGACACTTTCCAAAGCAGAAAAGGGACCCCAGCTCAATGGGTCTGCCACATCTCCAGCACCAAGGACGGGACGTGGAGGGAGCCATGGCTCGGCCCCTCAGTCCACCATACCTTCCCGCAGCAACCTGAAGCCAGGGGATGTGGAGCGCCGGCTCAGCGTGGAAGTGTGGGACTGGGACCGGACTTCCCGCAATGACTTCATGGGTGCCATGTCCTTTGGTGTCTCGGAACTGCTCAAGGCACCTGTGGATGGCTGGTGAGGGGGGCCGGGGCCTGGGGAGGGACCTTGGTGTCACCATCTCCGTCTGTGTGTGGTCTCTATTCTCTAGGCCACTATTTTTCCCTCTACCTGCCAGCACACCTCCCTCTGTCTCTCCCTCTGCCCCCACCTCCCTCTTCTTGCTCTTTCTCCTCCTCCTCTTCCTTC